ATATATATATATATATATATATATTTTCTTTTTTTTTTTCGGTAAGTGGGGGATCTCTGATTTCCACATTTTTTCCTACCCATTTATTAGCTGTAAGTCATATAATTTCCTCTTCTGTAAATAAATAAGGATTTCAGAGGATGTGTTTTTTTTTTTTTTCAGGAGTTCTTCATTTTATATTATGCAGATTAGTAATTCATTGTAATTGGCTATTTGTTAGAAAACATTTCTTATATTTCTTAACTGTAACTGACTCTGATGATGATCCTATATTTCGTGATACTTTGACGGATGAATAAATTAAAGACTAAAAAGCAACTTAATGCAGGGAAGTTTGTTTAAATTCAGACATTTCCTTACAATTAATGATGCAACTGTTAGGAGATCAATTAAAAAAAAAAATTTTGACACTGTAGCTTCAACACATCGCATATTCAACAGATTTAGAGGTTGGATAGGATGTTTATCTTTAATACCTGACATGATGCTCTTCCTGTTCAAGCTGCATGTGTTTGTTCCAATTTGTATAATTATTTGTTTGTTTATATGTAGAAGGTAATCACCAAAAACATTCCCTATATGTGTAAAAAAACTGATTGCCCATAAAGCATTTTCTGATTCAGAAAAGTCCAAGTTTTTTTTTTTAATTCTCAAAGAATCTGGGACTGAGACTAGCAAGCCCAAGGAGGAGTTAGATGGCGAAAAGGAGAACACATAAAAAAACAGCGAAAAAATTATCAGATTATTAAAAGTGTTGTTTTAGAGGAAGAAGACCCCAAGTAGGGAAAGAGAATGGAGTGTTTAATTTCAGCTTAACCCTTCAAAGCTGAGCTGACCACATTTAATACATTTATTTTCTTGAAAAAATTGATGTGTACAATCAGGCAAATGCAGATCCAATAAAATACATTATGAATTCCACAGAAATCCCTAATATATATACTGTATATATAAACTTCATAGGGATAATTTTCCGTTTAGCCGATATGCTCATATTTTTATGGTAAACCTCCAAATGGACCTTTTAGTCAGACTAAGAAAAATTAGAAAAAAAAATTAAAATATCTACCCAATCTTATAAGCAGCATTATTTGATGAAACCGGAAGTACCTAACTGTGGGACATGATGAGTATTCAAGAACTGCAGCTGGAGACTGATGCCTCAGCAGCTGCTTGGGGATTAGCTGACACTCTAAAGTGAACTCCTGTTGGGCTGTTGTATCTGTGTGTCACTGTTGCTGTGTTTACATGCAGGGGTTTGTGTGTCCTGCGTATAAATGTGCTGGAGAGCAGCATGAGATGGGGCCCGTAACATGATAGAGCCCTGAACAAACGCTGACTTGTAAACAGATAACAACAACACAAGTGTGGCCCTTCTCAGGCAGCAAAGGAAATGACAGACGAGGACAAATAGGGATTGTGGAACATGTGTAACTCCTTAGAGTGACGTCTGGTCTCAAGATTGTCTGTGATTCATTTATAGATCTAACTCATTAATTTTGTCAAGAGCCAGATATTTTTTCATAACAACGTATGTCCATGTCACAAACTAAAAGATAGGAGAGGCGTATGTTTCCTTTCATTGGATAAAATGCAAACAATACTATTAAATCTACCGCTTCACTTTAAACATTGCCTATTGTAAGTCATGTTTTTTGGCCCTGTTCCTAATGCAGACAAATGTGACCCAAATCAGATTATTTTGGCTTCAAACTTTTGAGAAGAAATGGGAATGTTCAGATTTGACCCAAATCTAATAAAGTCACATTTCAGCAACTTCAGAATGAGATCCAAAATCTGGCTTGTATTTGATCTTTGTGAATTTGACTACAAAAGGAAAACCAAGACAGATTTGACTTGAATGAATACTACATTGCTTTTCATTCAAAATGGTTCTTCAATCTTTTACAGACAGTGTCCTGCAGTCAGAGCAGTCATTAAGAAAGACCGAAGCTACGAAAGCAGAGCACAGTGCAGCAGCAGTGAGATGTTAGACCTTATTAAGCTATGAAACCTCTATTTTAGTTAGACTGGAAGGCTCATTTAGGAACCATTTGAATGGACGTAGGACGCAGCCATGAAAAGTTTGTGTACAACCCGGTAAATAGAGGGATTTGTAATGCTACACATTACCCAGCATGTGGGGATCTGCTCCAACTACAATGTCATACAAATAGCCTCAAAAGTATAGGATGATGTGACACTGGCGTGAATCTTTTCTTTGGAGATAAAAGTCAGTAATTACTTTTGCAAGTAATTTCAAAGCTCTCATGAAATATTTAAAAAAGCAGAAGCTAAAAAATATTTTTTACCTTTATAAATAAATATGATTGGTGCAAAGCAAAAAATCTTTTAAATAAGTTGCATAAAATAAATAATGTACTGAAATAATTATTGTTATACAATAAAAAAAAATATTGACTACAATAAAGAAGATCACACATATTGCCACAGGAGCCAAGGTAATGTTAAAAGAGACATTGTTTGAGTTGTCACTTTAAACCTACAAACTACCTCCTTTATCGACTCACAGTCTACTTAAAATAAATGTTGAGCTGCAGTAGCCGAAGGCATTTAGAAGATAGAAAATAAATCTTTTCAAACAAGGGAGAAGTCCCATAAAGGTAGAATGATTTATGACTTCCTGACGAGGACATTTAGACAAAAACCGTCACAACAATAAGAAATAATTGGGAGGATATTGGCTGAAATGTTACACCAAAAAAACTTTTCACACGAGAAATTTGAAGGAGAGAGCACAGCTGAGAGATTCCACCTTCTATAGTCACTGAATGAAACGGAATGATGGGAGGTTATCTAACTGCACAGAGCTGAAAATGCACCTCTGTACATACCTGAGATGAATTGCTGGCAGAGGTTTGTTAAAAATGTGGCCATACCCTAGTTCATATTCATTCGCTTTATGAGAAAGTTAAAGGAAACAGGAAGGAGAATAAACAGCAGCCTTCTAAGGTTTCTTTTCCAGTTAGAAGTAATGACCTGAACACTGATCTGATTATGCATATTATGTATGCATTGACTACAGTTACTTGCAGGACTTTCAATAGCCTCTATCTCATATCAGCACTTTGTAAATGTGACACCCTAAACAAACTATAAAATTAAACCTGCTCATTGCAGCTTCAAGAAGTGAGGTTGCTTTCTTCATCGGGTAATTGGAAGCTGACCAAAACTGACTGAACAGATAAACACAGAAAAACACTAAAGGAAAACCTTTAATTTTTTCCTTTAGCGTCCGAGGCTGCAGAGGATTTGACACCAGGGCAGAATTGCATCCTTAACATGAACCAACCTTGAAGACATGACAACAACCAATTTAAAACACACAACAAAAGAGATCAAGAAAAAAGAAAACTAAAAGATTTCAAAGCACGGACTAAAATTATTGGAAAACAAAAATAGAAGAAAAAAAAATATTTTCCTGAAAGCGATTTTACAACAATGAACTCTAATGTGAAATCTGTGCATCCTTGAACTGAATTTATCTATGTCTACATGCAAACGTATAACAGTGTTCATGGTGTATGACCTTTAGGGTGATTCTCTACATTTTTTATACCCAACTATTTGCTTTCAGATGTCTTTTTTTTTCTGTTTCTTTTTTCTTGAATTAAAGGCAAACAAAGTGGTCCTGAAATCGATAAGATAGATTAACAAAGTATTATTTGGGTCCACCTGTCAGAGCCTAAACCTCAAACTTATCCAGAACCAATGGACTGGATCCCTATGCGAAGGTCATGTTTGCATTGGCCCAAAAACGAGCTCAAGTCAGCTTACCAATACACTTCAACAAAGTGCTTCTGTCTGCACCACAAGTGTTAAAACTCTGCTGAGTTACCGCATGTCAATCAGAGACAGAGAAAGGGGCATGGAAGGTAAAAAAAAGAGGAGAGAAGGACAGAAAACCAAAATAAACTTTTCACTTTCTTTTTATTTCCATGAGAAGCTGAAAAACGTCAATGTCGTTTTTCTGTGGTGTGCTTCCTCACACGAGGCATGTATAAAACAACCACTTGCAGAGAAAAGAAACTTAAGAGGGGGACAAGGGGTGCAAAAGTAACTGCTATTAGTTGAGGTGTTGACTGGCAAAGATGGCAGAAGTTGTGAGTCTGACAGCTGACTAAAAAAACAATAAATCTTGTCACCAAGAGCTAACAAAGAAACTTTCTGGAGCCAGAACAACTGTATAAGCAAAGAGCCTAAAGGAAGTAATGATGGAGGTTTAACTGTAAAAATGATTTCAAACCTGAGGATCACATTTCATTAAAGGTCTTTCCATTGCATCCAACCCGGGGACATGAGGAATTTATTTCCTTGTATTGCAAATCAGTCTGCTTGAAGGGAAATACAGAAAGCTGGGTCCAGAAAGCATTAGTCAAACTTCGAACGTTATATCCTGAGAAGTCAGGTTCACTTTGAATGAGAGTTTTAAATTGAAATTCGAGGAGAGAGATATTTATAACTTTAAAAAAAAGCAGAATTTTTTTTCCTATCTCATACAAAACCAACCAAAATGTTCTATGAACAATAGATGCATATTATGGTTCTGATTATTTTTTTAAAAATGCATTGACATGTTATGTGAATTTTTACATTTAACATTTAATGAACAAAGTCTAATACCTTATTGGATTTGTAAACAGGCAAGACTGGGAGTTCCTTGGCAGCAAAACAATTAGAGATAATGAGCCCTCCATGGTCACGCTTTAAGATTTTCATGATGTGTTTGTAAAGTTCAGTTTTTGATATATTTGATACTTTGTATTACATTTAAGTCTTTGCTTTGCTCAAAGTCATCCTTAGTAAGTATTTCAGACGCCTTGCTATTCTGCAAAACTAAACTTTGCCATTCTGTCATTTTAAGAGATAACGGCAAACTGACTCTGCCAAATGAGGCATTTTATTTAGTATATTTTCAAAATTGTAGTCATGACTTTAACATTTGAGATCCCAAAGCTCCTTGCAAATATTTGGAGCACATTTTACTTTCCGGTTTTACTTTTTGTATTGCGTTCTATCAAATCCAAAGACCCTAAAGTGCTTCACACTACATACAAGTAGATTGCCATCTTCAGGCACTTTGACCACCAACAGCAGCAAATAGGATACTCCCACCATCCTTGACAAGCCCCTACTCCCTGAGCAACCATCACACACTTCTGACTGCATTATGAAAACTGTGATTTACATCAGAACAAAGCTAATATGGATGATGGCAAACTGTCATGCTATCAAAAAAATGGTTATTCCTGGTTATTCCTGTTATTCCTGCAAATCAATTAGAATTTGTGCAAATATAAAGATGTATAAACATAATTGGAATGCTTTCACTTAGTGTATCTGTGACATCGTACAGTGAAACTGCTTTGTCTCTATTCTTTAACAGAATTAACCTGAGAACAAATGACATGAAGAACAAGTTAACCTGCTCTCACAGGGGTTATCTGGCGTTCATGTTCTAGTTGAGTGACAACTTGCTTCGGGGCTGTGTGAAGTTCTTCAGAGAAGCACAACTGATACTATTTAAGGCATGTATGTCTGAAGACAAGGATGTTGTCTGTTGCTGCATGCATGCATGCGCACGTCTGGTCTATTGCTTTGCAGGAAGTTTGAAATACCGCCTTTAGGTATTGCTGATATGTGTTAGAAAAAACAAAACCATCGCATCCTTAGCAGATTTTTCGCCTGATAATTAATGAAAGGCATTTTACCACATACTGGCACAAACCTACCAAAACATGCAAACAAAAAATCCACATAAACAGACGGCCTTGTTTAAAGTAACTTACAGGATGAATATTACACATTAAAATACAACTTTACTACGGTAATACTAAATCATACCTAAAATATAAAAATAAAGTCTGTTTAAATCTGGTGGGCGGGCATTTTATTTTAACCAAGATTGAAAAGGCAAATAAATAAAATAAAATAAAAATCTGTACATTTTATCATGAAAGAAAAATAAAGAGCTAATTTTATCATTAGTAACAGAAAAACCAGTCTGGTAGGAAAACAGCTACTCCATGTATATTAGGTTCATGGTATCAATGTGTGTAAATTCATTGTAAAGCAACACGATTACCAGGCTCACTTAAATCAGACTGATAATAAAACATTTTCTGATCATGCTGAGACACATCACAAGGAAATAATTAAAATAATACCAGGATGCATTTGTGGGCCTCTGTAACTAATATTGATAGACCTTGTTAATTTTCCCACACTTCAGTAAGTCAAAGCAGGAACCATCAGTCATTTTAAGCCTCCACGTCTTTTTACTTCTGCTATGTCTGCTCCTGTCTCCCCTCCAGGCACTGCCATTCAAGACTAAATGATGGTATGCGCCCATACAGGGTGGAATCAGTGGCCTCGTTTCATGAGTGACATCATTCACGCAACTTAGATTTAAAAATTATAATAACATTTGGGCCCTGCGATGGACTGGCGACCTGTCCAGGGTGTAACCCACCTCTCGCCCGTAGCTGGATCAGCACCTCTCATGACCCTAGTAGGGATAAAGGAGAAGGAAAATGGATGGATGGAATAATATTTGGTACAATTGGGCCATGGATATCGAGAAGGAAAAGGTGTTTTGTTACGGATTTGATAAAATTTTGAAGTAAATTTGTAAACGTCATACAGAAAAGCCCTGTTTTTTTTTTCCAAACTTCAGTGACTTATCAAGACCCCAGACTTGTTGATTGCAGTCAAATTATAGATAGTTTGAGTCAAGTTTTCTCTTTCTTTTTTCTTTCACATCTCATGCTCCTACCAGAGGCGTATTCCAGTAATTATGTTGGATAACCATCATTTCAAAAGCCTAATTGATTATCCTCATGCAGCTAGATGAACCTAATTTCACTTAAAACAAAAGTATTTATCTGGATCCTATTTAAAATGATCATATTGGAAGAATGGTTTACATTTTTTCAATCTAATTCAATCTTTCCACCTTTTTTTAATGTATGCACTTCTACAAACTTGCCTAGTTTTTGTTTCAAGTTTCACTAATTAGTATTACAAATGTCTGTGACAAAATATCAGTTTGTATGTTATCTTATCTTATTACATTAACCTTACTCAAATCTTATTTAAAACTTTTATATAAATAAATCTGTCATGCTTTTGATTCCCTTTAGTTTAAGATTTAAAATGCCTGGATTGATCAGCAATGAAGATCAGCTATTAAGTTCTCAAAACAGTGACTCATCAGGACAAAAATAAATAAAAAAAAGTTTTAAGCCTATAAGAAAAGACTGACAGTTTCTCTAATATCCGGCTGGTGGGTAATGTTTTCTTACACAGCAGTGTTTGCCTCTGTGTGTGTTTCTCAGTAGCAATTAGTTCCACCGCTGTAGGGATTGCCCAACTGTTAACCAAGCAGAGCAACCACAAGAAACAGGTGACAAAGTTGTTTAAAGAGCTACTCTATTCATCAAAATACAGGGAAAAAATTATTGTTTTAAATGTGACAGTTTAACTGTCCTACTTGTTAACCAGTCTATAAATGCATTGTTCTCTAAAAATGAATATTAAGGAGATTTAAACATGCCATATAAGACCTTTTATACCCAGTGAGACCTTTAAACCAGGAGTGTTGCAGTGCAAATAATGTTCCCACACCAATACTTACACCCAATCTGAATTTAATGGGCTTCACTTTTTTAGCCCGTGCTCATTTCCGCCTTTCTCTCAGAGCTGTCACTCACTCGCTCAGCAGAGTTAAGGAGAAAGGGAGCGCATGCTGTGCCAGCTGTCTAGAGTTACATCTGCCCTTATGCTTTCAGGGTCTAGGAGAAATAAACTTTAAGAAACCTCAAAACGGCACGAATCGCCAAAATGAAAACGTAGGCATGGACTCTTTTTTTTTTTTTTTCATGATCATGCAAAAAACAGAGACTTGTATACCCCACATGCATTTCAGTGCATAGAATCTTACCAGCTAATTATGAGAAGAAACGCAGAGGGAAATGAGCAAAAGCGAGAGTGGTTCTGTGGGAGCTCACATGCAGGTTAAAGTGATGTCCCATCTTATATCTGTCAGCACCAGGGGTTTATTTACTCTGTTATATTATCATTTGTTGACCCAGTCACATGATCTGAGAGCGAAAAGTGCAGAACTGTGGGCACCCAAGAGAGCCCGGCAGAACGTGATGAGAGACGAGGGCCTGTGACCTAACACTGTGGCCAACACACACATGCACACAAGCAGCTGCACAACCTGACCTGCTCCTTTCACTCTCAAATGTCTGTCTTAGCTTTTTCCGCTCCTTCCTGTACCTTTGACATTTGTCCCCATCTGCTGTCTTTTCTAAGCCCTCGATTCTATTTTCTCTTGTGACTGGCTTTCCACTGGTGATCTTTCTAAGACCAACACATAACAAATATAGAGCTGCACCAAGCCATCCTTTTTTTTTTTGAGGAGCATCATTTTTTTCTTAAGATCTGACCAGCCAATTATGGTCCTGACAATTCAGGTCATTCTAAGGATTATTTTAAATAAAAAGGATTACCTGTATAACACCTTAAAGCAAATATCCTTTATTTACCCTTATCCAATTTTCAAAAACAATAACAATCTGAAAAAACAAATTTGTATTTTACAGTTTCATAATTGATCCTTCACTCTCCCTTTTTTTAACCAGAAACCCAGTGTTTTCATCCATAAAAGACCTCTGCTCTCACTCTGCCTTGCAGCAAAAAAAACCTCCTCTCTCGCATCATAGCTCAATGATTAAATTAGCTTCACATCCTCAATAACAGGAATTAAAGACATTTAACATGTAACCTACTGAAGAAGAAAATGCTTTAAGCCAAATATCTCCCTGTTGGACCTCTTAGCTTGATATCAAATACATTTTCTTAGATTAAACCTTTTATAGATGGTGTCATTTGTCATTTTAATGTTGAAATAATATATTGTTTTAAGCTGGAAGGTGGATTATTGAATGATTACATTTTTTCTCTTTTATTTGCACACTTTTGTATATGTTTTTTCAGCTGCTACTTAATTCAAATGGAGAACGGCAATAAATTATCACAAACAACAAAATAAGTGTTGTTTTAAGCTGATAAAACTCTAGAACACCAAATGATAAACAAAAACAAAGATTCTTCCATGTTTAATGGCTGAACCAGTTACTTTTTCGTTTAGAAATCTAACCTGATTAAAACGTTTTACAAAAGCAGAACCTGCAACAAATATACAAGCCACTGACTTTTAACAACAGAAAAACATGCTGATAAGATGTAAATAAGCATAAACAGAAGGTAGGTCTAATCTGTTCTAAAAATGGTTAACATTCAAAATAAAAGAAATAAAAAAGCGTACCTGATAGGTTCCAATGCCAATGTGTTTGGGATCGATCTTCACCAGCTCAGCTAGTGGATCCTGCACACGTCTTCCTATAGACACTAAATAAAACATCACACACACAAAGATACATTCAGAAATTAATCAGGTTTTTTTTTTTTTTTTTTTATGAACTTGCAACATGACTTAATTACCGAATATGCAAAACCGCATTATTTCTAATTACTGAATATGGTAATTATCTGCATAATAGAGAGCCTCCCTGAAGGCAGGCCCAACCTCATTGTGATTCCTCCACCCCCGATAATAATAATTAAAGCTGCTGTTTAGGAAGAGCCTCTGCACTTGTCATTTAGCATCCTGATGGACGGTGAAGCCATGAACCCTTAAACCACTAATTTACACAATCCAGAGCTTGTTGGCCCATAATGAAATGTAGCACACAAATGCTCACAGTCTGCATCAATGAAAGCGGCTTTTAAAGCATCATCTTGCAACTGAAAATAAAGAGTTTTTCTTTTTTTTGTTTTGTTATGTTTATGCTGTAAAGGATGAGATATAAATGAATAAAGGAATAAAATGGCTTAAATCTAAATTTACATAACAGCACCAGCGGACAATGGGATGGGTTGTAGAATATCTGTTCCTTTTTTTGTCTTTTTTAATGAGAAAATATGTTGTACAGTTTGTATCGTGTAAAAAATTTAAAGCCTTTAAGTGAAAACTGAGTTATTCAAGGCGGAGTTATTGTAATCTGTAAACAAAATAAAAAGAAGCAACGCTCCCAAATTTAGAACTGAAAACACGTTGCTCCCAATTGAACAAACGATATGGTTTGTTCTTTCTGTGGTCCCTGTTTTGTAGCGCTTGGCTGCATTTTAAATGACGGCACTAAAGTACGTGTTTGAACTTCCAAGATCTGCATGAGTGTAATTCAGCATGAGATGTGTCCGATTCGTATCTCAGGGGCGGAAAAGATGAAGAGAAAGAGGAGGATGAGATGCAGTGGAGGGAGTATATCTGGAATCAATGGCTCTTCTCTCTCTTCTGGCTGCTGCAAGAGGCTGCTGCCTGAGATAATATTTAGACAGGGATGAAGTTTCAACCCTAACCTTGCTCAGTGCAACAGCAGTATTCTCCAAATACACTTTCCATCTATCCTGTTTCCCCCCCGACTCTCCGCCCATTTCTATCTGTAAGGAGTTGATTTGGAAATGGAGAGGGGTAAAACTCCCCAACATTTATTAAAGGTTCATGAGCCAACGTCCAGCGCAGATGACAACCCTCATCAGACACACTGCAGACTGGAGATAGAGAGACATGCGTTATTTTCTAGTCTTTTTTTGTTGAAGTTTTCACCAAACTGAAATTATTTGAGCTTTTGAGGGAATGCAGGATGGTTTCTGTTTCACGCATTTGACCAAAAATAAACAGAAATCTTTGAAAAAATGTAAGGGCAAAAGTATAAAAAGATGAAGCCACCACTAGGTGTCTCTGATCTCAACAATTAATAGCTTTAAGAGAAGTGAAGGACAAGCAAAAATGAAATGGATTAGCACTTGTTTTAGACTTTCATTTGTGAAGCATATATCTTTTGACTTTTCTAAATGATATAAATGCGACCACAGAAATTTAGTAAAGATTAATGACTGGCTTGATTTATGCCTGTTAAAGAGGAAGTCTGCTAGAAACATTTGTTCTCCAAAGTTCAGAGTTTGGGTCATTTTAAGATAACACACTGCTTATTCTCTTTCATTATGCTGCAAACCACAATGTGCAATAAACCAACTGAGCCAAAATATCCCTTTAATGAGTCAGACGGCGTGGTGAAAACATAATGAACTTTGGCAGACTACAATGCAAATTACAGTTTATTATGAAGTTCAGATATTAACAGTTTAGCTATTCATTTGGGAGGTGGAATTCTATCCCTCGTTATGGGACCCCTAATCTCCAACCACTGTCCAGATTTAGACTCAGATGAGGTCTTATCAAGATGATTGATTGTGTTTGAAAATGTTTTAACATTGTATCTTTTAATGCTTTTATAATAGTTAGTTTAGTAGAAGCTGGTTTTCAAGACCTAATGATACTCTTGCTGATATGGCTGGAGGGCAGAGCTATCCTCTCTAAATAGAGCAGTAAATCATCAGAGAAGTATATAAAGGTAGGGCCAAACTAAAAACTTTTTTTTTTTTTTAATGAGACTTTGCAAGGCTTCTTCTAGAGATAAGAAGATACAAAAGGGGACTTTCTTGTTTTTTTTCCCTTTCTATTGAGAATCTAAAAATTGTGTGTGTCATAAGTAAATCATACATGCATCTTAACTTAGAGCACAGAATAGTGTATTAAAATATAATTGACAGATTTATAAACCAATTAACTACCCAGCAGTGTGATTCATTCTGAGTTAGTTTTTTTTTTTTATTAACTTACCGAAAATACAGAGTGCAGCTATGTCTGTATGTGGCAAAACATCATATCTGATGTTTCTACATTACTGACAGCTTTGTTTTGGGTTTAAATCTAGCTGGTTGCAAGAAAAAAAGTTGATGAGTAACCATTTAAAGTATCTTAACTTTAGGAAATTGGTATTGAGCAATTGATCAATTGATACAAATCTTGCTCAAACAGTGATTTGTAAACATGTTTTATTGAGAAAGGTAGGGAAATATATATAAATAAACCCTTTTCTTTGGTCTTTGAATAATAACAACAAAGTTTGAAACACTCCCCATACTTTGGTGAAAAAGTGAGGACAGGCTAGGACTTGGACTAAAATTCAACCTATCCTCCGACGTAACAAACATTTATCAAACCATCTCAGTGCATCTCAGTGTTTAATTACTAAATATACTATCTCATTGTGTGACCAGTCTGTTTCCCTCCAGCGTTTTTGTTGTTTGTTTATTTTTTTGGCTTGTTTTTTTCCCTGCCTGTTCTGCTTGAAATATCTGAACAAAGATTCTTGGAAGGACAAAAAGTTCCACAGTACTTCCATAAAAAAAAAAGAAAAGATAAATCCCAAAAGAAAGTTTTATATATATTTGGATGATGATTTAGAAATGACCCAACAAAAAAATGTACATTATAAAATCATTAAATTCATAATCTAGAGTCTGTTAAGATATGAAGTTTAGGAGTTTTATGGTTTTTTTTTAAATATAATATGAATTATCCCAAATGTAACAAAAAAACAAAAAAACGAAAAAAAAAAAAAAGTTTAACTTTTCTAATTTTGTTATTATTGGTTATTTAACTTTTTTTTGCTCCTGGTTATTATTTCAAAGAGAAGTATAGATATGTTTTTAAAATATATTAAAATATGGTTCTTAACTTGTGAATACACTTCTATGTGTTTAAAAATATATATATACATATTAAGCAATTTTTCTAATTGTTACAAATAATAATGCTTTGCTAAATAATACTGATTATAAGACTAGCAAGTGTTGCTAATTGGACACAGAGGCAACCTGCTGTGTAGGAATTACAGCAATCCAACCTGGCTGTATGATTTACCTGCACTCCTAAGATTTGGGTCCAAGTCTGGCATCTCTTTGACCGCCTCAGGACTCACACTGTAGATGGACGCTCCTGCCTCATTGGTTATACTGTTTTAAGGATTCAAGGGAAAAATATTAGAAGAGATTAGATTAGGAATGAAATGGATGCAGAAACATATCAGACAGGTCAGCCAGAGAAGATGCGACGTATGACAGTAATTAACTCAAGAGGTTGTGAGAGTTCACACACAAAAATGCAGGCAGGTATTTATGCTTTACAGGTAAGTACAATGCTGGCACATGTTGAAGAAAATTACTACTGCCCTGCACTTTGACAACTTGACAACTTATCAAACTGGTTCTACGTTTGACTTAAGCTGCCCCTTTGTGCTCGTGACTGACATTATGGCCGAAATAGCAACGTGACAAGTAGTCTCAAAGTTAACATTAAAATTATAGCCTTTCAAAAGCTTTTAATCATTTGGACACAAGGCTGCATTAAGGAGAAGAAAAAAACTAAAGCAACATGCAGCTACAACACCTTTCTGGCCCATGGTATACTTAAAAAGGTCAGAACAGGTAATTTGGTGATTCAGATGGCTGATTGGGATAATCTAGGCACAGCATGCGTCACTGTTGTGTGAGAATAAATCATTCACATTACATACTTAAATCGCTGGAGTAAAACTCCCTTCCCGCTCACATGATTGATTATTAATAAAAAACCTCCATAATGCATTGTTCATAATTTAGGCACCACATGAAGCAATGTACATGACACTACTGCCATCTAGAGCTCACAGCCATGCACTGCGATTACTGAAGATCTCAAATCTTTTATTAGTTGAGCCTCACAAAGACCTTCTGTGACTGCCTCAGTGTGGTGACACTGGAGAAAGTCTGACCAAAGCAGGATGCAATGACTCCTGGTCTTTAAAAACATCTGTACATTAAAAAAATATCTATTATAAAAAAAAGACTAATTTATATTAGGATGGGGGACACTTGTGTAAAATAATTACAACTTCAAACAGTTTTTGTAAACATATGAAGAAACCAATAATAAAGCAAAATTCTCCTTAATTTTCTTAGGAATGCCACTCAGATTTGCAAGAGTAAATTTGTAGATTTCATGCACTGATTGTACATACAAAGAAAATAATCCAAATGTTATTCAAAGCTTCTCTACATGTTAATTGTTTTATTGTTGCATGACGATGGAAATTATTCAAGAGATAAACTCTAAACTGAATTTTTTTTGCATATCAGGCATGTTTGGGTTTATTATTCAGTTTTAATTCAGTGTGCTGATGGCTAACAGTGTGAGTGAGTTCTTATATTGTTTATAAACCAACCCAAACAAAACAAAGGTCATAATTTGTACCAGACTATCTCAAAACAAAACAAACTTTGATGTTTGGCTTTTTTTTTCAGTTGTTACAGAGGTTACTGACAAAAGTTTTAAAAAAAATTTATGTGATAAAAAAAATTATTTGGTACTGTTGTGTAGAACCTAATTGAAAGGGGTCAGTGGTGACTCCGATATTATAGAAAGTATAATAATTTATTTGGTTTGTAATTAAGACTTTTTTAACTGCGTAGATCAGGCTGGTTAATATATGATTTAAAAGCTAGAGGTCCTAATTTCTGATTTTACAGCAGATGCATTTTTTTCTGAGCCATTTTACTGTTCAGCTCCCTTCACAAATATTTTAATGCTAAAAAACAGAAAATACAATTCAATTATTTATTTGCTTTGTGTAAACATTTACAGAAGCAGAAATTAGGTAAAAATCCTGCAAATGAAAAACAAGAGCTTAATTTTTTTAAGCCCAGAGGGTTTGAGAACCAGTTTTCCTCTGAAATTATAGAACCAAATAAATCAATAATTGCTCTACAATGACTAGGTCTTAATGCCAACATATGGTACCTGTATCAAGGTAACAAATTTAATATTTCTTCCAGACAAGGCAATTTTGCAGACGTTATTATGACTACATTTTTGTGATAGATAAATAAAGCTTATCGTTTTTGGCCTGAACAAAGCCTGCTGTGGGGGGGCCCTCCAGGCCTAAGGGGCAGCAACAGCAAAGCCAACATAAATACAGGAAGTTGCTTTTATTTTATCTTACTTAGTAGCTTGTTAGAGAGTAATAATATTTTTTATTTAAACTACAGCTATCATTTCAAAGGTTTATTCATTTAAGATAAAAAAAAATTATCAGCTATTTAAACTGAGACATAAGGATCTAATATAGCGTATGTTTTAATTATAATTTTATATCAATATTACACTTTAAATATGTTAAATTCCACCTAATAAATGTATATAACAAATTATGTATATAAATTAGATACTTATAGAGGCTATATATGTTGCTGTATATCTTTGTATTATTGATCTACATAACAAAGGAGACATTTGTGAAGAACTTCACCGTCTAAAAAATATTAAAATGATACAGGTTTCTCCCTCTAAACTACGGTGTTTTTCTTCCATAACCAATTAGAAAGGGCAGCGGGACAAAAAAGTCTCCGATACGGTGCTGATACTGGTAACACACAGCAGAACCCATCACATTATATGGTCCTGCCTCTTTCAGATAAGAGGAGAACTGGGGAGCTTCTTCAGGGCAAACGGACAAGACACCAGGGTCAATAACACCTCACTCACGTCCGAAAGCCGAGACATGTCCAGAAATCACACACACACATCAAAGCTACACCGGAGGCTCGGATTGTGCCACAACAACCTTGCCTATAATGAGCATGTTGTTAACGAGGAGTGGCAGAGGCCTTCTGATGAGACTCATATTTAAATGAACTTGTCTTCCCCCACCTCCTATCCTTCCTCTTCTCTATTAATCTCATCATATGCCCCCCATATTTACCCCTGTTCTTTTGGTCAGCTTCCAGTCTTTGTGCTGACAGCTGACATATCGCCGTGATGACGCTGCTAACAAGCACTGGCACCTGACCTTCAAGGAGGTCAAAGACATGCTGGTCATTAACATGACACGCTCTGACTCGCATACATACTGCAAACCAACATGCAGAAAAGGAAAAATATTTAGATCTTCATCCCAATATTAAAGAATATGATTACTTGTATAGGAGCAAACGAACGCATGGTGAACAAAAGTAAAAGCCAGTTATGGGATAAAAGTAATGAAATAAGACAAAACACATATTGAGGAATAATTAAAGAAAAGGAGTGGGACACCCAAGGAGCCTCATTAAATCTGTATTCATTAAGGCTGGTGCTGGGGCATCTCAGTAACAGCAGTGTCATAGATACAGCTGTGAGCCTTCTCTGCCACAGCGTCCATGACTGTCGCCACACTAAGGGGATTGCCCTGGCAGACAGCAGAAGGTCGACAGTGGTTGGATGACCGATGTGTGGACGGATACAAAGTCATAGCTTGCCTCTTGGTGTAAAGCGATGACTTCTGGCCATTTAGGGTTATCATTTATTCGCGCTTATGTTTGCTCTCTTAATTGCAGGGACAAACAAACACGTCTGCCTTAAGCAAAGTCCCTTCCCAGGGCAAAGTCACAAACCGGTTGCCCTTTCTCCTACCCCGTACTGGATAAATTGGAGACAGACCCTTGAGCTTGACACTCAAACACGGACACATAATGACTGCCTCCTTTGCTACCCCTAAAGAAAGGAAACAGTGAAGGAGATGGATACACATTTTGATATCTCATAAAAGCCTTCAGGGACATGCGGCATGAGTGTAAATTCAAAATGGCTTCAACAAATCAGCAAGGAAATAATGCCGCCAATAATATCTCTAGCAAACCCAAAATGCTTAAAATAGCATTAAAAGTAAAATGTACTGCAAGAAAACAAGGTACGGTAACGTGTGTCTCTTAGATTTAGACTGCTGGAGGATATATTGACCAATTTCTCTGATTTTCATCACCTTCAATAGCTTTTATTTACTTTCTTACTTATTCAGTTGCAACATATGTCTGAGTTGCCATATTAATCCTCTTACCATCTTAGTACACGTGTTACAACTCCTCAAAACTGGATCTCTTATTGTTGGATTGTGTAAAAAAAAAGATTTAGTATGGTTTCATATTCATATATATGGATGCGAATTGGACAAGTTTGTCTCATAAAGTGATTAAATTAAAGTGTTTGAATGTGTGCAAAATAAATGAGCTGAACTGAATAACTTAAATTTAACTTGTTTAAAATCCTAAAATCTAGAGGAAAACTAAAAGTAAGATGGAACTCATGTACTCACAACCGTAGAGTTTTTCTCTAGTTAAAGTCACACGTTTTGACCTTGCTTTACCTTTTAAAACACATGTTTTTAATGTCCTGATGTGCAGTTGCTTCCTGACATCTGGCTACTGCTCAAAATCATCAGTCCACAAATTAATTTTGCCGTAGTTTGGCCACATAGACTTTATTTGGTGCGTCTTTTTAGTATCAGGTCAGACTCCCTCTCCTGAACTGCTTTAATGATCCATGACATGAATTAAAGGGACAGAGTCATCTTGTAAGCCTATACAAACTAAGGTTTATACATTGAGCATCCGTCCTGACAGTGTGTAGAGTTTTTGGGTTAAAATATAATTCCAGCACCGGTCCTAATGAGCTAAGATTGATAGAAAAGGGGCCATCTGCTGCATTTATTAGAAAGCCAGATTGCGACAACTGACACAGCTACTTCAGTCTGACTTTCCTGCAATGCCTTGCATTAAAGCAACAGCTTGCCGTCATTGAGGACCAACCAATATTAATAGATAAAAGGATTTATATCAACTCTAGGATCTAGTGAATCTTTCCCAAGGGCCTCCAACCACAACATCACAAAAAGTGTCAAGGTAAGAATCAAGGCAAGAAATATCTCAATCAAATTAATATGAAAAAAGTCACAATTTAAAAGATTTTCATTGAATTAAAAGCAATCAAATTCTATTTCTCGACAAATGCACAGTGGATGAGGCCTGAATTGAATCTAATCTTAAGTAGTCTTCTGGGTTCTGGCAGACAGAAAAATACCCATCACATTCTATTTTTTCAGTTATTCAATATATATATTGATAGAGTCATTATTTACTTTGACTGCAGGGACAAATAATTCACT